GGGCGAGGGCCTGGGGTGCTTGCTCGGCTGCCCGATGCAGCGTCCCGGGTCAAGCTCCTGAGAGGCCGTTCCGATGGGCCCTCGGTCCGCCCTCCTGCCCGCCAGGTCCCAGCTCACGCTGGCCCGGGGCAAAAGACGCCCCAGCTTGACCGGTGTCTGTGTCTCAAAGTGTAATTTCAGTTTTGTATTGGAAGACATATTCATCTCGAATTTATCAGCGTGTCTCTTCCCAGCCAGCCACCCCAAATAGGAAAGAAATAGAAACCTGTTCCCACTGGGACACACACACACACACACCCCTCCGCTCTCCTCTGAAGTCAGATAACATCCCGTCCCTAAAAAACAAACAAACAAACAAACAAACAAACAAACATCCCGTCCCTTCTGGCATCTTGCTCCTAAGCTTTCTGCATTCCCAGTGGGTCCCCAAGGCCTGCCATCCTCTCTGCCTTCTGTACCTCTCTTCTATAATGCGGGCTGTCTCACCAGTGTAGCTGGTTTCCCTTCCACACCTAATGTACCGTTCACTTGGTGGTTCAGAGTGGGACCTCTACACTGGGCCTGTCCTGGATCTTGGAAGCCTCCGACAGGGTTTAACATGACAAACAAGGCTCTGAACAACACAGATCGCTCTGTGAGATTGGTCCTCTTGGGACAGCACCTTGCAGTCCAGGAACCAAAAGCTTCTGGGGAGTCATTACAGTTAGGCCTGACCCAGGCTCCCTCATCAGATGCTCCTGCACACGTTTTGTATTTTGGAGGTATACCAACGCCTGAGCTGGACCCCCACCAGCTGGGGCAGGGCTGGGGATGGTGGCACCCTGTTCCCACCAATGACCTGATGGTGTGATCTTCCTGTGTCTTGTGCCCCTTAACTTCTGCCTGCCTTCAGAGGCCATTCTGAATAATTCCTGCTAGTCTGCCAATTGATTCTCTCTCTGCTGAAGCCAACCGGATCGATTCTGTTGCTTGCAATAGAAAACCTGGGCAATATGAAGCAAAGTGGTGTCCCCACTGGCCTGTCACAGGGCACAGGCTCTTGCATTTGTGTTTCCAAAGACTCTTTGACCAAAACTCCACACTAAACCTTGTAAGCTAAGCCTGGCAAATCTGCCACAGAGCTTGTAATGACACCCTAGTGTCCACTCTCTCCTTCCTTTTTAAAAATTGTGGCATAATTAATAAAGAATACACAGATTCTAAAGATTCAGCTCCATGATTTTAGAAAATTGGATACACAGTAGGTGCAGTTACCAAAAGGAAGATACCAAATATCCTGGTCTCAGCTTAGGCAGACCCTAGCCAAAGACACCCTTGCTTGAACATCTTTGGTCCCCCAAAGTCTATTGCCCCAGAAAGTTCCTTTTTCCTGTTTCAGCAATCCTTCAGCACCCCAGATTGTTCTGATGTCATTCTCTTTCTGATTATTGTCCACAGAGGTGGACAGTACATATACATTCATTTAAATGTAGCACGCAGCATGTAGTCTTTTGTATCAGTTTTGTTTGGTTTACCCTATGTTTTTAATATTAATCCTTGATGTTTGCAGGGATGATTTATGAATTCTGCAGACCCTAAACACTTCCTGGGCCCCTTGTTCCATTTTAAAAGTGGATACATGAAAAATCATGCCTTATGGCTGTGTTTCTATACAGCTGAATATATCAATATTATATAGTGACCAGATTCTTTACTCTACAGATTCATTTTAAAGGGCCAAATGGATCAGCTAAACATCCCAAAACACATTTCAGTATCCTTCTGCTGGTGGACTTGGGTTTGTTTCCAGTTTGGGACTGATTTGTGAAGGGAATGTACTATCTCATATCCAGTCTACTTGCCACCATCAGTCTTTTAATTTAAGCCAAATTTTAGTCCTTTCTTCAAATGAGTGTTTACATGTCTTTCTGCAACCCAGCCCCGAGTTTTAGTAGAACCCATTCCTATGCAATTAGATTCTCTGTTTCCCAGCTGGGATGACCATGTGACAACAAAGGTAACATGTGCAGATTTGAATCAGTTTGTGTGTGTGTGTGTGTGTGTGTGTGAGAGAGAGAGAGAGAGAGAGAGAGAGAGAGAGAGAGAGAGATGCTGGCAAATTGAACCCAGGGCCTTCACACTGAGCTATATCCCCAGCCAGTTTTTATTTATTTATTTATGTATTTATTTATTTTTGGTGGAGTCAGGGATTGAACTCAGGGCCTTGTGCTTGCCAGGCAAGCACTTTAATTTTTTTATTTATTTTTTATTTTTTTTTATTTTGAGACTGGGACTCACTAAATTACTGAATCTGTGCTCCAATTCTCAGATTTGTGACCCTTCTGCCTCACTTCCCAGAGTGCCAGGGTTGCCAACATTGTGCCTCCCCAGCCAACTTGCGTCACATTTCTGTAGGTCGTCTGTCTGCTTTCCTCTCACTTCCTCCTTTCTCCTTTCCCTGGTTAGAGTGTGAATATGGGCCTGGTGAACTAGCCCTGACCACGAGGAGAGAAACACCGTGGAGGACCACAGAGCAGAAAGTTGGAAGCTATCTGTGAATGATTTGGTAGAACAGAGCTGTCCACCCTGCCCTGGACCAAGTGGAGACAAAGTAACTCTGCCTGGGGTGGCGCCATTGTGGTTTTGCTATGGCAGCTCAGCCAGCACTTTGCATAATGTAAGACCTTTTGCACAATATCGTCAATCGATGTTTACTGATTGATAGGGCAGGCTCATATTGTGCTAAGCAATATACGTATGTTTTCAAGGTGGGTAGTCTCTGATTGCATATTGTAGGAAGATACTGTACTGAGAAATATAGGCCCCACCCCAACTCCCAGATGAATCAGATACCAAATACTCACTCTCCCCTGGGAAGGCAAGTTGTAAACACTTGGGAAACTCAATGAAGGGACCCATTGTGCAGTATTATAACACATCCCCAGAACTTTCCTAGGAGAGTATCTCATGCTAAACACCCAAAGGGTGCACAGGAAAAAAATGGGACCATTTCTTGGTCAGGGACCGAGACAGGCCCAGGGCTCTCCTTCTGCAGTAGTTGGCACTTTCTCATCAAGGTATTGAGATAATGAGACATGACCCAGGTTACTAGGGCAACAGAGCCATAAAAATTCAGGGAAAGGGAGGAAAAAACTGGAAGAAGAAAGATGAGGGGACTGAAGCAGCACAGAAGGATCACAGGTATGTAGGATTTACAAGGTAGGCTTACAGTGATTGCCCGGAGAGTCAGGTGTGGTCAAATGCAGAAGGGCTGTCTGCACGTGGGAGTGCCAGAGGATCTAAACAAAGTGGAAGGACTGGAGCTCTGCAGAGTTCCATGTGAATCTGTATCAGGAAGCCAAAGTGCCCATCCTGGGAGGCTGCAGAGCCCAAACTGGAAGCCTCAAGATGGACATCCAAAGTGATAGCAAGGGGCCGGCCAGATAGCTCAGCAGACTAAAGCACTGGCTTAGGCAGGTGCAGGGACCAGGTTCTATTCCCAGAGTACTGTGCTGGCCCCATGCCCTGGGCATGCTGAGTTGGTGATTCAAACCAGGTGTGGTGGCACTAGGCTGTAATTCCAGCACTTGGAAGGCTGAAAACAGGAGAATCACTATGAGTCTGATCTGTGTAGTTAGACCCTGTACCAAATACATACAAGCAAAACAAAATTGTAGAAAGGACGTGTGCTCTTCTGAAGAAGCAGAAGTGAGACTTCCTTCTTTCCCTTTTAATTCCAACTGAGCCACAATGTTATTGGTTGGTGCCACCCAAAAGGGGCGGGGTCTTCCCACCAGTGAATTTCTGATCAGGACACAGCCAGCATAATTGTGGAACCAATCAGCTAGACTTTCTAATTCAAGTTGGTACCAGAGGGTTGGCCAGATAGCTCAGCGGACTAAAACTCCTGCTTAGGCAGAGTGCAGCAGCCGAGTTTCAATCCCTGGGTGCCATGCCAGTTCACCCCTGGGACACACTAAGGCTGTGATTGAGACTGGGCGTGGTGGCATGCGCCTGTCATCCCAGCTCTTGAGAGGCTGAAAACAGGAGTTTTCACCAAGAATCTGATCTACGTAGTGAGACCCTGTACACCTTGCACTAAATACATTAAAAAAAAAAAAGTCGGTACCACAGTTAACTACTCGGGCAAAAGGCCTGCCCAAGAAATGCAGTCTTGACCTCTGACTTCCATGAAATCTCTGTGTATATCTTAGCTTTCATATTCCTATTGGTAAACTATGAACTGCTTTATTATATTCATTTTGTTCCAAGGCACAGAGGTTAATTTGCATAAAGACAGTGGCAAATACTGTAAGGACACTCCTTCTGTGTAAGAGAGACACAATCTTGGAGAAAGCTGAAGGTCAGGACCTGATGTAGGATGAGGCCTTATTATTATGGACATCTAGGTGAGATAGAAATTAATGTATAGTCGGAGACACATTGGACCCTCAAGGGAATCAGCACAGGAAAATAAAGATACCAAAATTGTGACTGGAGGTGAACCTAAAGAGATCAAGGCCAGGATGGAGACATAAAGGCCGGGCTTGCAGGTCTCCTTGAGAGACAAGCAGCAACTAGAGGTCATCCGGAAGTTGGCACCTCCTGGCCCACTAAGTCCAGATAGGCCTCAGATGCCCAGGCAAGTGAGCAGAGCATCGGAGCCCTCCCCTTCCCCAGCATGCCTTTGTTCCTTCATATGTCCTTACTCCCTGACTCATTGCCCTGTTGGTCCATATTAGCTAAGTGGCTATACTTGCTATCCTATAGGTTGATTATAGTTTGACCCACATTGGGCCCACACTATGGCTTTGCTCTATAAATAATCCCTGGCAAAGGGCTTCAGTAGTCAACACATAGGG